AGCTAAAGGAGCAGGACGAGAGCTTCACCTGGCTCGAGACGGCAATCCCTGACAGGGACGGCGCTACCCTCGACATCGGGGCGGCGGTTTTTGTGGGCGACGTGGCGCGCATCACCCCGATCCCCCAGCACGCCACTGGGAACGACATTGTCCGCAGGCTCAACCGCGCCACCAGGACGATCAACACGGCGATTGGCAAGCAGGGCGGAGGCCTAAACGAGGACAAAACCGTTAGCACGCTCGACCTACGAGGCCATGGTTCGAACACGGCGACGAGGAGGGTGGCAACGTCTCAGCATTTGAAGGGGACGGTGGCCAAGTGCGCCAGGCTACTTGGACCGATCGTGGCTGCGGACCTGTCCGTGCACGAGGAGATCAAGGCCAGGGCGATGGCGGCGAAGCGTGGCTGGTACAACTTGGGCTCGACTTGGTACCACGAGATCCAGAAGAGGTGCGCTCGCTTGCAGTTCATTAGCTACGTATACGAGACCGCCCTCTCGGCGCTGCACGTGCTCCTCGTCGCGCAGAGCCAGGTCGAGCGGATCGCCACAGTCCTCACAAAGCTTCTGCGGTCACTGATGGGAGGGCGCTTCACCAAGTGGATGGACGACGGCTCCGCACGCACCATCACGAACGCCAAGGTGTGGGACTACTGGGAGCTTGCCAAGCCAGAGGTCGAGCTGAGGGTGAGGAGGCTGCGGTTTTACCAGCGCATGGCGAGGTACCCCAAGGCCCGCGAGCAGGCGATTGCGGCGGTCTTCGGGCAGTGTAAGTTCGAGGAGGAGATGGGGATTAGCAGGCTGGGCGAGGACGGATGGCCTATCTCAACTTCTACCCCGTGGTGTTTACAATTTGAGAAAGACTTGAGGGAGATGGGCAAGGTGAGCGGGGACTGCCACGACATGTGGGAGACGCTGGAGTCGGCTCCTGGAGGGTTGCTGGACCTGTTCTATGCGGGCGACGTGCACGACCAGTTCGTTAGGCTGGATTTGCGGGCTATGCGCGCGGCATCCTTCACCGTGCAGATACCCCCACCCGGCCTTGCGAGAGTGGGGGAGGACGGGGCAGAGGCCGCTCAAGACGAGTGGATCGCGCCCCCACCTGTTGAATTTGGCTGCAACGAGACGGTAGACGGCACTATGTGTGGCAAAACATTTCACTCCTTTGCTGCTCTCCAGACTCATCGTCGCGTCGTCCATGGGGTACAGCACGAACTTCGACGGTTAGTGGTTACAAATCAGTGCCCCTGGTGCTTGAGTTGTTTTCCTACGAGGGAGGGGGCGACGCAGCGCGTTTCTCGAGTAGCAGGGGGATGGGTATCGCGAGGAGCGAAGCGAGCACGTAGAATGTGCACGGTCGACCACTCGCCCTGGCATCACGAGCCGATCGGGCCCCATAGCCTCCAATGTCCCGCCTGCGAGCGCTCCTTTGTCCATTTGCTCGAGCTTCAAGTACATATTCGTTCGCATCATGAGGGCCCCACTGGCCTTTCTCTTGCAGTGGGTAGCGATGAGAGCAGCTGGAAGCACCGCAAGCAGCGCGCCGCCCGTCAAGCCGACCCAGTTCCTGTCAGGGGGGGATTCAGAAGGGCCCGGCGACGAGGAGGGAGCGCTCGGCGACCATGGACGCAGCGAGCGAGGCGGCCGCCCCAGACTCGAAGACGGCGAAGCAGGTGAGGGAGGACGACGGCGAGCAGGAGCGGAAGGCACCAGAGGCGGCCCAACCAGAGGGGGCGGCACCCACTGGCAAGGCGAAGGCGGGCGGCAGGAAGAAGATGAAGCTCGCGACCGATGGTGGCACGGGGTTTGCCGCCGCCAACTCCAGCGGGGTCTCCGACGCGATGGTCATCAGGCTGCAGAAGGGGGTGCTGAACACGATGCAGGGGCAGCGCGGCCTGGAGGGAGCAGTTTTCGACTTCCGCCCGGTGCCAGTGAACAGCGTCACCGCGGAGGCGGCGGAGGCGAGCGGCAAGGAGTACAACGAGGCGGCGGAGTCCAAGGCGTACACTCCACAGGAGCTCGGCAGCCCGCACGTGCAGATCGCGAAGAGCGTGATCAACAAGCTGGCCAACGCGGACATGGGCAACGGGCAGCAGGTCAGGCTGGCGCAGTGCGCGATGTCCCTCATGAACACGGCGCTGGAGGAGTGTCCAGCGCTCACGGGCGAGATCTTCAAGGGGTTCAGACTCAAGCGAGCGAGGTTCGACGAGCAGGTGCAGACGACGGGGTACAGCAAGATGACGATGGCCATCAACCCGCACGTGCAGCTACCGCTGGATAACCCCAAGTGGCCGGGCAAGCACGGCGTGGGAAAGAAGAAGGCGAACGAGGAGGAGATCATGGAGAGCGACGCGGAGGGACCGCGGCGCCTTGCCGACGTGCCGCTGGTGCCGATTTTCGTCAGGGACGTGCGGACGGCGCTCCTCGCCATGCTGGGGGCCGAGGGGGCGGTTCGGTCCGACGGGCAGCCCCCGAGGTCCAGGCTCGAGCGAGATCTGCAGAAAGACCTAGGCCAGATGCTGAAGCTGAGCTGACGGCCCTTCGACAGCAGGCGGCCAGCGTGGCCGCGATGGTCGCTGCGACTGGCAGCGAGCGGGGAAGAGAACTTCTGAGGGCCCTTGAGAGCAGGGTTGCCCGACTGGGGTCGCTCCGAAGGAGAGCCCACAGTCGGACGTGACGCACTGCGGGTCCCCATCGCCCCCAGGCTGTTCGGCGGGTTCTGGCCCTGGTGGCTCCGTCCAACAGCCCGAGGGTGGGTGGGATCCGCGGTGCCTGGATGCAGTCGGCGTCGGTCGCTTGTCGCGGGCCCCCCTGGCTGCATCGGACCCCGTCGCCGCACAAGCGGAGCGGGGCGCCGCCAGGCCCCCGCGGCCGCGCGCCGACCTCGTTCCCGACGCCACAGGGGCACATAACGTTTTTGAGTTTTTCGGCCTGGAACTCGGAATTCGGTGTCTAGAGCCTTGAGACTGGTTTTGTTGCCCCCGATGTGTGTTTAGTTAGTTTAGGAGGAGGAGGGGGAGGACGAGTAGGAGTAGTAGGAGGAGGAGGAGGAGGAGGAGGAGGGGGAGGAGGAGGAGGAGGAGGAGGAAGAGGCCTTCCGAGCCTTCCGAGGGAGGCCCGGCCCCTCCGCCTGCCCGCCCGGACTCGCCGCCGACCCCCTGCCGCGGGACCCGTCTGCCGTGCTTCCTCCCGCCTCGCGCCGCCGGCGGCGCGCGGCGCGCGGGGGGCCCGCGGGGGCCCGCGGAGCGGCGCGGGGGCCCAGGAACCGACGACTGAACGACGGCCTGCGGAGCCAGGACATGAGGAGGAGGAGGAGGAGGAGGAGGAGGAGGAGGAGGAGGAGGACGAGGAGGAGGAGGGGGAGGAGCAGGAGGAGGAGGAGGAGGAGCAGGAGGAGGAGGAGGAGGCGGCGGAGCGGCGCGGGGGCCCAGGAGCCGACGACGCCAAGAACGCGGGACGCCTCCTCCTCCTGCTCCTCTTCCTCTGTTCCTCCTCCTCTTCCTCTGTTCCTCCTCCTCCTCCTCCTCCTCCTCCTCCTCCTCCTCCTCGTCCTCCTCCTCCTACTCCTATCCTTATTCCTTATTAGAATATACTCCTACTCCCCCCTCAGGCCGGCAGATAGCGGGCGCATCCGGGTGGTCCCATCCTAACCTGTAAAAAACAATACAAAATCAACATGTTTCTTATTTTCTCCTCTCGACATGGACGTCCTGTCGTCCACGGCGATAATCCATGGCAAAAGATACCACAAAGAGCACACGCGCGCGTTCATGTCAGAATCCTACCGGACACCGTGTGTTTGTAAGCATTTCAACATAAAAACATAAAAAAACCCAATGTTTTTTCACAACAAAAATGTACAAATTTCCCGCCCGGGCTCTCTTGCTGAAATCATAGGAAACCCATAGGAATCTTAAGAATTCGGTCAAATCCAGCGATTTCACGTCATCGCGCGGTGCACCCGCGATGCTCTGTCAAGCACCCAGGCCGCGAATCCTGTGCAACAAATATTACAAAGAGCACACTCGCGCGTTCATGTCAGAATCCTACCGAATACCCTGTTTCTGCAAGCATTTCAACATAAAATCATCAAAAACCCAATGTTTTTTCACAAAAATGCTTTGGGGTGTCCTGTCAGACCGTCGGGCTTCCTCCGGCCACCTCTGGCTTCCTGCGGTGTACCGGGCCATTCTCGACTCGTCTGGCAATGCGTGCGCGGCATTCAACACGCGCTCGCCAGTTCCCGTCGGCAACCGCCATCGCGGCCGCATCAGCTGTACCAAACCGGCTGGCCGGTGTGACTTCGGCCCCCAGTTGTGCCAGCTTTGCTTCTTATGTTGTGGGAGGGCGGGTGGGACTGGGCATGCCATGCTTGACTCGCTCGAGCTGGCTGGCTTGACTCCTACTCCTACTCCTGCTCCTACTCCTACTCCTACTCCTACTCGTCCTCCTTCTCCTCCTCCTGCTCCTCCTCCTCCTCCTCATTATCCTCCTCCTCCTCCTCCTCCTCCTCCTCCTCCTCCTCCTCATGTCCTGGCTCCGCAGGCCGTCGTTCAGTCCCAGGACATTTGGAGGGGCGTGGACGGCGTCGGGGTGGTGTGGTGTATACTAACTTCCCCTTTCTCCCGGGGAAGCAGAGGACAATGTATATACATACGCCAGGATCCCGTAGACGCCAGGATCCGCTCTCTTGTGCGAGTTTCGGTGCCAGGCTGGAAAAGGCGTCGGTGCATAGAGCTCGGCTCCTGAAGGAGCCGCGGAGGAGGAGGAGGAAGAGGAGGAGGAGGAGGAGGAGGAGGAGGAGGAGGAGGAGGAGGAGGATAGAGGAGGAGGAGGAGGAGGACGAGGAGAGGAGGAGGAGGAGGAGGAGAGAAGCAGGAGGAGGGGAGGAGGAGGAGGAGGAGGAGGAGGACGAGGAGGAGGAGGAGGAGGAGGAGAGGAGGAGGAGGAGGAGGAGGGCTCCGCAAGAGAGCCTCCCCCTTGGCCGCGCGGCGCGCGGAGGCCCGCCGGGCCACTACGGCTCCGGCCCGGGGCAGCTGGGCCACGGCAGGGGCGGCTGCAGCCCCGCGGGGGGCAGCGCGGTGGACCAGGCCCGCGGCGGGCAGCACGACCAGGCGCCCCCGCTCTCCCCAGAGGTCCGACGCTCCTCCTCCTCCCCCTCCTTCTCCTCCTCCTCCCCTCCTCCTCTCGTCGTCGTTATCGTCTCCTCCGCCCCCTCCTCCTCCTCCTCCTCCTCCTCCTCCTCCTCTCCTCCTCCTCCTCCTCCTCTCCTGCTCCTCCTCCTCCTTCCGACCTCCTCCTCCTCCTCCTCCTCCTCCTCCTCCTCATCCTCCTCATCCTCCGCCCTCCTTTCTCGTCCATGGACCTGGTGCCCACGCGCCAGATCCACGGACCCCGAGTCCATACGACTTGGCGTGCGCCCGCACAGAGGTCCGACGCTCCCAAGGAACTTGGAGCAGGCGGTGTTGCCATGTTCTCGACCTCCCCGGGGGCCCTCGCCGGGCCCCGGGACCGTGCTGGTCCAGACCTCCGGGGCCCGAGCATCGAAAGAAAGGGAGCAGCCGGATGTCTGGGCCCCTTCCGTTTGCATGTCCCTACCCAGTCGTTGAAAGTAGGTATTTTGGGATATCACAGATCCCAGTTTGCTTCCAGCACCTGCCTACTTCAAGGATCGATGTGCTTTTGCTGTGTCTTGGTATTCTCTGGGACGGCCTGGACCCAATCTACGTCATCCGCCGTCCTACTTCCTGTTTTTGCCTACCTCTCCCGACCGACGTGTATCCCTATCCATATGGCTGGCATCGCCTGGTCTCGATGCCGATCTTGAGGACTCCCTCAACGTGTGGGGAGGGAGCATCCCCAAGACCGTCATCGCACTTTGGGCCCGTCGATCTTCGGGACCGGGATCAGATGGAGGCTGGTTATTTCTGGCTGATGGGACCTGGCTCAGGGGCAACGTCGGGAGGGGGATGTGGTCTCGAGGCTTGCGGGCTCGGCGCTCGAGGTTTTTCTGGGCAGATGTGCGTCGGCCCCCTGCGGAGGGCCGCGCGACGTGGCTCCCTTGCCTGGCTCGCAGCGGCGGCGAGCCTGGGGTGAGGGTGAGGAGGAGGAGGAGGAGGAGGAGGAGGAGGAGGAGGAGAAAGCGGGGCGGCGGCGGCGGCGGAACGATGTCGGGCCGAATGTCTCAACGACTACACAGCACACTACTCCTCGTAGCGGCGGCGAGCCTGGGGTGGGTCCTTAGTGGGCCCTGGAAACGACAGGGCCGTTTTGTTACCGGTTCCGTTTTGCAGTTTTCCTGCCGATTCCGACGCAGTTTTTGTACCGGTTCCGTCGCCGTGTTTTGACCGGTTCCGGCTTCGATTCCAATCCTGGAGCCGTTTTTTTGCCGTTTCCGGTTTCCGTTTTTTGCCGTTTCCATTTTCAAGGGACATTTTTATGGAAACGGTGAATAAACGGCCCTGCCGTTTCCGGGGCCCGTGCCCGGAGCCTCCTCCGAGTCTCCGAGGGCAGCGGCGGCCTCGCAGAGGGCCATGGGAGTTTCTGAAGGGACCCTGGTCGCAGGAAGGAAACGGGTCCTGGCGGAAGGGGATCGGCGGCGAGCCCTGGGGGGCTCCTCCTCCCTCTCCTCCCCCCCTCCTCCTCCTCCTCCTCCTTCTCCTCCTCCTCCTCCTCCTCTTCCTCCTCCTCCTCCTCCTCCTCAGCAACAAACGACACCACCCCACATGCAGTCAACCCGAACCGTATGGACGGGCAACCTTCCCAAGGGCACCCCTTGCATCCTTGCCTCGTCGGCCCACCTTGGGCCGCTCTCGTTGGCCGCGCCCGCTCGAAGAGCTCCGACGTGGCCTTCCAAGGCCCTTGCATCCTCGTCGCGCATCCTTACTGGCTGACTGTACGGCCCTCCGCCGTTGCGCTGCGGCCCCTCGGGCGCCGTGGCGCACTCCGCGCAGAAGCCCCGGCGGGCATTCGTGGTGCACGTGCTGCTGCCCGCGGGGCCGCGGGTGGGGTGGTGCCGTGTGTCTTCTGGGATCCGAGCGGTGGGCCCCGGAGGAAGGGGTCGGCGGCGAGCCCTGGGGGGCTCCTCCTCCCCCTCCTCCCCCTCCTCCTCCTCCTCCTCCCCCCTCCCTCCTCCTCCTCCTCCTCCTCCTCCTCCTCCTCCTCCTACTCCTCCTCCTCCCCCTCCGCCTCCGCCTCCGCCTCCGCCTCCGCCTCCGCCTCCGCCTCCGCCTCCTCCTCCGCCTCCTCCTCGAGTGAGAGGGGGTAGGTCATCTCAGAGGATTCAGCCTCGAGGTGCTCGGTCGCCGCCACCGGTTCGCGGCGGTCTTCCCTGCCTCGGGATGCGCTCCAGCGGCCGCGCCTCGACGAGGGCGCCCGGCGAGCGCCCGAGCCTTGCTCGTGCCGGCGGCGAGCCCCAGGGCGGGGGGGGAGCAGCCGGGGCCTCCTCCGGCAGGCCTGCGGTGAGCCCACTGTCGAGCGCCAGAGGAGGAAGGGGGGAGGGGGAGGAAAGAGGCGCCAGTGCAAAGGGGGCGCCAGGGGGAGCAGGAGGGAGGGAGGGGGGGCAGGAGGGAGGGGGAGGGGGGAGCCAGAGGAGCAGGAGGGCGCCAGGAGGAGGAGGAGGTCGGGAAAAGGACCAGGAGGAGGAGGAGGAGGAGGAGGAGGAGGAGGAGGAGGAGGAGGAGGAGGAGGAGGAGCAGGAGGAAAGGGAGGGCGGGGAGGGGGAGGGGGAGGGAAGAGGAGAAGGCAAGCCATGTGCGCTCGCGCTATATCTGACATCCCATCCCTGCCACCCATCCCTTTTCCACTGCGCCTCGACTGTTCTGTATCCGCGGACGGGTGCCATAGCGGACCTGAACACCCTAATTGATCCCATGGTGTCATGAACAAAGACGAAAGGATTTGTGTGTTTTGGAGGAGGTCGAGGAAGAGGAGGTAGCGGATGAGCAGGGAGATGAGCAGGATGACGAACAGGACGGAGGAGAAGGGGAGGATGAGCAGGATCAGGAGCAGGAGGAGCAGGATGAGCGGGAGGAGCAGCAGGAACAGGGGAGCGCGAAAGAGGGGAGAAGGAGTTTGCGACAATGATGAGCAAGGATTCGGATCCATAACTAAGGCCCGCACTGGATCTGATCCACATGGGCAGATCGCCGATCCTGAAATGAGACCACCGCTGAAGCGGGAGCACCATTCCGAAAAAAAACAACGCATATCCGACTCAAACGAAACCACATGACACAGAGATGTTTGAAGTCCTGGGCGCGAGAGTGAGGGAGGGGGTTCCGCTCCCACAGAATCTGGGGGGAGAGGAACGTCGTACTCAGATTCGGTAGTTGTAGAGATTCTGCAGAGGAGGATCAGGATGGGATGTGTTGGAGGGGTGGCTCTTCGTCAGGATGGCTGGATGGGGGCGAGGAGGGATGGAAGAGGGAGGAGGAGGAGGGATGGAGGAGCAGGAGGGCGTCACGGATCAGGGAGGAGGAGGAGGAGGAGGAGGAGGAGGAGGAGGAGCAGGGGGAGGAGGAGGAGGAGGAGGAGGAGGAGGAGGAGGAGGAGGAGGAGGAGGAGTATGAGGAAGAAGACGAAGCATAAGGAACACAAGGGAGGAGGGAGGAGGTGTGGGGGAAAGGAGGGAGGGAGGAGGGACATCCATTCGTGTTTTTTTTCTTGGAGATGTTGGCGTTGCAGCAGGCGCTGGGGGTGCCGCTGCCGACCTTTTGTGGGTGGAGCACCGTAGTGATGCAGCCGGGAAGAGGTGTGCGCCAGACGCATCCTCGGAGGCCCGGAGCTCGACGCCAACACCGATATCGGCGGTGTGCCTCCACCGAGGGAAGCTGCTTCCACTCTCGGTGATGGCGGTAAGATTCGGGCGTCCAGGTGGCCGGCATAGTATATCCCACCAGCACCGAAGTGTTGGATCATCTTCTCCCAGCGGAGGCAAGCCCGTGTGGTGGTGTTGGTGACCTGTTTGAGGCTTCCAACATCCACCCGAATCGCAAGGGCAAGCAAATAGAGGAGGAGCAGGAGGAGGAGGAGGAGGAGGAGGAGGAGGAGGAGGAGGAGGGAGGAGGGAGGAGGGAGGAGGAGGAGGAGGAGGAGGAGGAGAAGGAGGAGAAAAAGGAGGAGGAGGAGGTGGAGGGGGGCGGCGCGCGCGCCCCGTGCCCGCACGTCCAGGCGCAGCTCTACAGTCAGGGGGTCGCTGGCAGCAGACCATCGGCCGTCCTGAAGTGCACGCTCGACAACTTCTTCGATCGGATCAGGACCAGCTCTCGTCCTCCCGCCTTCCTCCGTTCCTCTCCCCTGGTGGCGTCTGGGAAGTGTTCGGCCCCGTTCCCAGTCGTGCTCCCACTGCAGCGCTGACGTCATTCTTTCCAGCGCCATGCCACGACATGGTCTTCCGTCCTTCCAAATTTAAACAGGCCACACAATCTAGAAAATGCCCCCCAAAGAAACCATCGGAAGTGATCATTCGGTATTCGTTGATGTTCTGGGCCGCAGAAGCCCTCCCCACTTTTGGGCGTCGCCACGCCATGCTATGTCATGCTACGCGTTAGTCTTCAACACCATGCTACGCCATATAATGCTATGCCATGCTGCAACATCCGATTGTGCGAATAGGAAGGAGATCTACGCCATGATAAGGGATGGGAGGGAGGGGTAGGACGTCAGATATGACGCGAGCGCACCTATCTTGCCTCCTTCCCCTCCCTCCTCCCCCCTCCTCTCCCCTCCCCCTTTCTACTCCTCCCCCTCCTCCCCATACCCCTCCCCCCTAGCTCCTCCTCCTCTCCCTCCATCCTCCGTCCTGAGGGGCACGATGGATGACTTCTGTAGCCGAATCGGGACCGCTGGGTTCGGGGGAGTCTTTTTGTCATCCAGTTTTGTCTCCGGCACGGTCACTGTGCCCCCGGGATGCCTCTCGTCGCCACGGCCGGAGGTCTATCCAACCTGCTGGCCGGAGCGCACCCGAGGACAGCTCTGATGGGGTTCGATGGTCTCTAGGATGAAGTCGGGCCTGTCCCTGTACAGGGGGAGTATTCAGAACTATTAAAACATAGTCAGGGGACTTGTTTGAGCATTTGTTTGACCATGTTGGACTATTTTGTGGGTATTTTTCCTCATTTTTCGTCGAAAATCCCTCCGTAGGGGGACACGCCCGACTTAACTCTAGGATCGAAGCAGGACCGTTGTGTGTTGGGCAGTCTCTGGTGCTCCTCCTGCTCCCGTCCCTCCTGAGGGAGACCGACCGTGTACACTAGGGTCGCGCCGCGTCGAGGATCAAGGATCGATGCTTGGGGACCTTTGGGACCTCCTGGCGATCGCTCGTGGCCTCGGCTGGACTCCGCTCGAAAATCTTGCGGCGACGTTGAACACCCGCAGCCTGGGATCGGAGGACGTCGAACTGCCTGCCCTATCGGACGGCCGCGCTCGCGCAGGTGTCGGGAACCGGCGCTGATGTCATCGCGACGCGATTTTGCGGTAGTCACCGTTGCCTCCCTGCCCCTGCGTTTCTGTGGGAAATTCCTTGTTTGTCCTCGAGCGCCCCCACGAAGGAGACCTGAGAGCTCCGCGCAGTTCTTCCCCCCGGCCCCCTTCTCCCCTCCCCGCCTCCCCTCTTCTGCTCTCGCGCCTGCCTGCCTCCGCAGCAGTCGATGCCAAACGATGGCACCACTGTCCGGGTGCCGGGGGCATGGGCCAAGACTTCCCCCCGAGTTCGGGCCGATCGGGAGTACAGTCACCCCGCAAGGATGGGCAACTTTCACAAGGACATCCTCGCGTTCGAATGGCGTTAGCATGGCCCTCCACGGCCCTTGCATCCTTGGCGCGCATCCTCACGATACGGGTCGATTCTACAATGGCGTAGCCCCGAGCGTCGCTCAGATGGCCTCTCGCCCTGCAGCCCCGGCAGAAAGCACCGTCCTGCTCCTCTGCGGCTCCAGGTCAGCCCAGACTGGCGCCGCCGCCGCCGCCGCCTCTGCACGACACCCGCGGGGGAGCCTGAGAGGCCGCTGCGCTGCGCCCGAGGAACTTCACGGTCCGAGCGTGCCCTCCTCCTGCCCCCTATCCCCCCTTTTTCCTCCTCCCCCCTGCTCCCTGCTCCCTCCTCCTCCCCTTCCCTTCCCTCTCTCCCTCGGCCCTCCTCCTCCGTCCTCTCTCCCTGTCCCTGCCTCCTCCGTGCCGTCCTCCCTCCTGCCTCCGCGGCCGCCCCGCCTCCTCCCCCCATCCCCTCCTGGTGCACCGTGTCTCGCCGCCGCGTCCCGACCGCCGCTCCGTCCGCGGTGCGGCCGCCCCCGCCGCCGCAGACCAACAGCAGAGCACGCGGGTGCGGGGCGGGGCCATCCTGGAGGGTTTCTCCGAAGGGCTTAGGTAGCGAGACGTGGTCGCAGACACTTTCGGACCACTGGGACACGGCCATTCGTGGATCTTCGGCGTTGCGTGCTGGGCTGGTCAGAGCGTGCTTGGATGAGTCAGGTGTGGAGCTGGGAGTCACCTCACTCACGCTGCTATTGGACATCCAGAAGTTCTATGATTCTGTTTCCCTGCTAATGCTCCTGCGGCTTGCCAGGAAGGTTGGTTACCCTGCGGCTTTGATTTCCTTGGAAGTTCAACAATTTTTGGCGCCTAGATACCTGCAGGAACGAGCTGTATTGAGTCGCCCGATTCTACCATCCAGATCAATTGTGGCGGGATCCCCACGTGGAGTGGGACTGGCCAAGCTGTTTTTGCATCCCATCCTGGAGTTCGTTCATCGGCGGTCCCCTGCGACGGGGCTCTGGGCGTTTGTGGATGACACCACGGCCAGGTGTGAAGGTAGTCGCGCGTCGGTGGGGCAGGCCATGATAGCTACCGCCATGGACCTCCAGGAGGGCCTCGAGAATCAGCGTATGGTCATTTCGGACAAGACCGTACTTATTGGCTCAAACCCTGCGGTGACCAAGCGGACGGCCCGCGCACTGAGAGCTCGCGGTTTCTTTGTTCAGGCTGTGAATGAGGCAGTGGACCTTGGCTTGGATGCGGCTGCTGGACGGAAGCGCACAGTACTGAAGGCCAAGAAGCGGATCAGGATTGCCATGCGACGTGCTGGGAAAATTCACAGGTTGAGGCGAATTGGTGCGCTGACGAGAATATCTTGTGGGTTGTGGAATACTGGTGCAGTCCCTCAGGCGTTGTATGGCCATCTAGTCTTTGGCATGAGCAAGGCAGGTTTGTTGCGTATGAGGCGACAAGCTGGAAAGTTGGTTGGAGGACGTGCGAGAGGACGCTGCCTAACTACTACATTGGCGTGTGACCCTGCGGTACCTGACCCTGCGCTGGAGATCCCGTTGCAGGTCGTGCGTGAGTGGGTTACACTATGGCTGCGACATCCTGATCTCCATGATCGAGTGATTCGAGCCTGGCCGTCGATACGTGCGAGACTGCAGAAGGCTGCGACACGTCGCTGGGCTTATGTGCGGGGGCCCATTGCCACGGTCCAGGTCACGCTGATGGATACTGGCTGGGGCCCTGTTACTGCTACGTCTTGGCTTCGACCTACGGAGTGCGATTCCGAGCCTGTTGATCAATGGGACATTCCCTCGCGTCACGACGCAGGCTTCTCCGCTGTGGCTTCCTTCGAGGCTCTGTTCGAGGACCTGGCGGCGGATATCCGTGGGATACTGTGGCGTGAGGTTGCCAAGCATGAGGCGGGACAGGACCTTGCTGAGGGCGCGGATTTGATTCCCTTCTGGCGAGAGCAACGCAGGCTGGAGCGCCATGGGGACCGAGCGCTGGCGGCTGCAAACGTCACTGTAGTCAGTGGTGGCCAGTGGACCAGACAGAGGATGCTGTCCCAGGGCTACCTTGCGGAGGCCACCTGTGTCCGCTGCGGCAAAAGCGCTGAATCCCTCTCCCATCGCATCTGGGAGTGTGAGAAAAATGCTGAGCATGAGGATTACTCTCGCACAGATTGTCTGGTGCCGCTTGCAGTTTCGTCGCACGAGGCCGAACCTCCCCTTCTGGCGCCGGGGCCCCCCTCCCTCGCGCCTCACCCACCCTGTTTTTGATGGGGAGCAGGTTCGAGGAGTCGAGGAGCGATTTGGGAGCCCCGCCAGCTTCGCGGAAGGCCAGTGGGAAGGTCGCTGCTTCATTTTTGGAGACGGATCTGGTGGGAAGTACAGTGACGACCCACGACGTCGGCGATGCGGATCCGCCATCGTTGCCCTGTCCAGGTCTCAGCAGGCTTTTGATGTTGTCGCTGCCTTGGCGAAGCCCTTGGCGGGAGAGAAACAGACTGTCCCGCGTGCTGAAGTTTTTGCGTTTGTCTTGGCGCTAGCGGAGGTCCGAGGCCCGTTTACCTTTGTGACCGACCACCTTCCCTTGTTTTGGACCTGGGGATCCCGCGTTAGGGAGCCCAGACCGTCGGGGCCAAACGAGGACCTTTGGACCGAAGCGAGAGTGTTGTGGCAGTCTCGAGCTGATAGGGAGAAGATTCAGGTGATCTGGACCGCGTCTCACAGAGATGAATCTTCTGAGTTAGTATGCTCCCAGTGGGACTTATTTATAGTCCGTGGGAACACGTCGGCTGACACTTGGGCTGGGAGGGCGGCGGAGTTGGCGGGAGAGACAGCTTTACTTGGCGAGTGGCCTGACGTGGATCGTGTCGATGCCACCGCCTCGCTCATCCGCAGGCGTGCCCGTCGTGCGATGATCGATGCGACTGCGGCTGATGATGCACGGTTCCCCCGCCAGCCCTGCACCGCCCGCCTTCCCAAGCTCCAGAGGTTGCTGAGTCGGTCGGCCCACCAGTTGAAGCGTGTCGACGTGAAGTGGGCGCGTGTCAAGTGTCAGATGGTGGTGGCCGACGCCAGCATGCAGTCGTTTGCTGCGACCCCGTGTGCCAGTGCCTCCACCTTAGGAGTGGAGGCCTGCCCTGTGGCTCCGCTTGCAGTGCGCACAGCGGCGCTCGAGATCCACCCGAGCCATCGTTGCAGTTTCTTTCCGCGTTGGTTCCTCACATGTTGCACGGGCTGTGGCTTTTATGCCACGACGGACCCGCGGTCTCTCAAGAGCTCCCGTCGAGGACCGCCCCCGAAGGGGACCGAGAACCTCAGACGTCTTTCGAAGGGCCTCTTCCCGAGACGTGAAGGGCCCCCCAGGCCGAGCCTGGCGGCCATGGCGCTGCGGGACCAACTGATTTTGGTCGAGTCGGTTGAGGTCGTCTCGTCGGAGGATGGAAGGTCCCGTGCGCCGCAGGTTCCTCCCCCATCCCGACCTCCCACAAGAGGA